CAGTAACACTCTATTTGTTCTCCATATTTAAGAATCTCTTAATGCTTTTGTCTCCTTCCTTGTTTCTCTATTCTTTTTGTTTCCCTTCCCTTATGTTCATCTGTTTCGTATCTTAAAGTCCTCATATGAGTGAAGTGCTATGATATTTGTCTTTCTCTGACTAATTTCACTTAGCATCACACCCTCCAGTTCCATCCACATAGTTGCAAATGGCACCTTCTTTTTTATTTTTAAGTTTATCTCTTTATTTTGTGAGGGGGTGAGAGGCAGAGAGAGAGAGAGAGAGAGAGGCAGAGAGAGAGAGAGAGAGAGAGAGAGGGAGAGAGAGAGAGAGAGAGAGAGAGAGAGAGAGAGAGGCAGAGAGAGAGAGAGAGAGAGGGAGAGAGAGAGAGAGAGAGAGAGAGAGAGAGAGAGAGAATCACAAGCAGACTCCACACTGTCAGCACAGAACCCAACTCGGGCTCTATCTCATGGATCATGCGATCATGACCTGAGCCAAAATCCAGAGTCCGAGGCTCAACCTACTGAGCCACCCAGGTGCCCCTCTACTCCTTCCGGATAGGAGGGCGTGGTTTGAAGCGTGGGCCCCAGAGGCACGTGCCCTGTGAAACCAGCGTCACTACTTACAGCTGCCTGACCCTGGGCAGCCAGAGCATCACTAAGCCTCACTTTCCGCATCTGTAAAATGGTATCGATAGTGACTGTAAGGAACCCGAGATGTGAGATGAAATGAGACAATTGCAAATAAAAAGTGCTTAGTCCCGGGTCTGTTGCCGAGTTAGGGATCCTTGGGGTTATTTGCCAAGCAGCTCTTCTGTACGGGGCCCCGTGTCGGTGCACCTGGCCGGTTCTCTGGAATAACCCTAGCTCTCCACCGAGCAGATGAGAGGCTATGATAGGTGCCTGGCTCGGAGGCTACACAAAGATGATTTGGGGTGCACTGAATTTTCACCTTAAATGCTGACTTGAGGAAAGATGTACGCCATTCCACACTTGTTCCAGTTCAGTCTACGTATAAACCCCAGGCCCCTCTGGCTCCAAACCCCAGGCTACCAACATTTCAACTGGTCACTTTCAAGGCCACCAAACGTGAGCAGTCACTGACCGCCTAACCTCACCAAGTCTCAGTGTTCTCACCGGTAAAATGGGAGGTGTTGACTCTTGACTTGTTTATTCTGCAGGGTGGCTATGAATTATCATCATCATCGTCAGAGGTCAAGGGAGAGTTTCGCAGTTATATAAAGTTGGGTCCTTTTTGTTTGGGTTGGTTGGGTTTCCCATAGGTTTGCTTTGCCTGATTTTTGGTCACGTCTCCTTCCTCCTTCCCTGTCCCTGGTTCTCTCTTAATTTTCTTCCTCAGATGTCCCAAATCCAGATGATATCCAGGTGCCGCAAAATCTCCACAGACGCCATCTCGGCCAACCACACATACACCCTAACCTCCAGATTTTTCTCCTCCCTCATCCTGGCCAAAATTTGGTCCTGTAGTCTCTTCCTTTGGCTTTTATCCTGTTTTGTTTTGTTGGGTTTTTTTTTAATGTTTATTTATTTTTGAGAGAGACAGAGACAGAATGTGAGCAGGGCAGAGGCAGAGAGAAAGGGAGACAGAATCCGGAGCAGGCTCCAGGCTCTGAGCAAGCTGTCAGCACAGAGCCCGACGCAGGGCTCGAACTCACAAACCGCGAGATCATGACCTGAGCCGAAGTTGGACGCTTAACCAACTGAGCCACCCAGGCACCCCCTGTTTTTTGTTTTGTTTTTTGTTTTGTTTTGTTTTTTTCAGTTTATTTATTTTGAGATAAAGAGTGCACGCACAAGTAAGGAGCAGAGAGAGAGAGAGGAAGTGAGAGAATCCCAAGCTGACAGCACAGAGCCTGATGCGGGGCTCAAGCTCATGAACCCTGAGATCACGACCTGAGCTGAGATCGAGAGTTGGATGTTTAACTGACTGAGCCACCCAGGCACCCTTTTTTATCCTCAGTTTTAAAAATCAATAACTCGGGGTGCCTCAGTCAGTTGGCTGACTGGGTGGCTCAGTCAGTTAAGCATCTGACTTTGACTCATCATCTCACAGTTCATGAGTCTGGGCCCCACATCAGGGGCTGTCAGCACAGAGCCCACCTCAGATCCTCTGTCCCCCCCCCCCCCGGCCCTCCCCTGCTGGTTCTCTAAATAAATAAATAAATAAATAAACTTTGAAAAAAATCATTAACTCTATCCCGTTACCTTGTCACAAGGTACAGTTTGATTCGTCAGTTCCATCAATGGCTGATAGTCCTGTTCCGTGCTGCTGCAAGGATCCTTAGAAAGAAACGCATTTGTGAATGCCTTCCCTATCTTTTGGCAATCTTTATGTCTGTGAGATAAAACACGGAAAACAAAACAAAACATGAAAGGTTAGGTTTTGAACATAATTACCTGGGCGCGTGTCATCTACGAAGCACGGGCTGCATGCCTAGAACTTCACGCACATCTGGACAGCATTTTTTAAGAGATGACTGTTATCCTCCCCACCCTGCAACGTCCCTGCCTCTCCCAGAGCTGCTTCTCCGGTTAGAGACACAGACAGTAATCAAACGAGCAAATAAGTTAACAAAATCAGTACGGACTATTCCAAGTATTCAGAAAATCAAGGGGGCGGGGGGGCGACAGCAGAATACAGTGACCAGGTTAGGGAGGCTGGTCAGGACAGGTGTCCCTGAGAGATCATTTAAGCTAAGACTGAATGATGAGAAGGAGAACATTCCAGACAGAGGCTACTACAAGGACAAAGGCCCTGAAGCACACAGCATAGCTGCCACGGAAAGGAATAAGGAAAAGAGTGGTAAGAAATCAGGTCAGAAAAATAATCAGGCGGTAGATCACTTAGGTCTTTTGGACCAAAGAAAGGATTTCAAATTTTACTCTAATTACTGGCAAGCCATTGGATCGTTTTAAGCATGAGAGTGGTCTCATCTGACTTTTTTTTTTTGAGCCACCACTAGAAAATTCTGAGCTGGCCCTAAAGATAGAAGTCTCTGAAATAGAATTCAGACTCCTCGTCCCCTCCAGACAGCCCCCAACCATGAGGAGGCAGGTGGGTGGGGAAGAGCGGAGGGAGGAGGGATGGGGGCAGAGAGGGGCTAAGAAGACAGCGGCTGGAATCCCTTGTGTTCCTGTTAGCAGGTGCACAGAAACCCATCATTTCCTCGGGACAAAGAGGTGGGTTTCCCCTGGGAGCGCTCAGGTATCACGATCGGGATAAACCCTAACCTTTGAGGGCTTAAATAAAACACATGGTAAATCCTTTCGGAACACTGCCCAGTACAGAATAAAGGTTCACTCAACATCAGCAATAATATTTCCTGTCTTTCTTTTCGGGCCCCTTGCTCAGACCTTGCTGGCTGTGAGCAGTCATCTGCAGCCCATAGAGGCAGGCGTGGCCCATATAACTCCTGGGCCAACTTAGGAATGGGGCTCATCCTCACAGGGCCCGGAAGGGCACACAGAGTTAGTAGGTCCTGCACCTGGGATGGTGAGAACACCCGGCCCCTTGGGGTCAGATTAGGGTGCAAACCCAACCCAGAGGGTAACAGTACTGCCCATCCCCTTGTCCGCAGGCAATATGATTGTCTCCTTGATCTTCCACTCGTAGTAAGAATCAGCCTGTAAAATGTAATGGCTTTGATATGCAAAAGCCACAGGACAGAATTCCAGATCAGTCATCCGGTAGCTGGGTGGGCTGAGGCAATAATAATAATAATAATTTCGTAGTAGTAGTAGTAATAAACAATAACAACAAAAGGTAGCATTTATTGGGGGCTTAATATATATTGCACATACATATCTCATCTATTCTCCTATCATTTCTCTGAGCAAATGTATCAGTATTTGATTCAACTTAGTAAGACCTAAAATTGCAGGGACGCAACAGAGAATTTTATTTCTTGCTCATATCTCAAGCTCAAGGCCAGTATCTGGGATTTCTATGACATTGCACATATCAGAGACCCATCTGCTCAGTCCAAAATGACTACTTCAGTTCCAGCCATCATGACTACATTCCAGCCAACAGGAAAGATTAAGGAAAAGAAAGAGGAAGAGAAAGAAGGAAGAGGAGGGGAAAGCAGCAGCAGCAGTGGGCACGTGGGCTGCTTCTTAAGGACAGGCTCTTAGAAGATGTTCTATTTGCTGTCATCTCATTTGCTAAGATGTTATCACAGGCCACACCTAGCTGCAAAGGAAGGTGAGAAGCGCAATCTTTCACCTTGACGGCCATTGCAGATCAAAAATCACTACTTCGGTTCTAGAGAAGAAAGGGCCTTGGTCACAGGGAGATCCTACCGTTGTCCCATTTTACTGATGAGGAAACTTGAAGGCTGCAAAGTTATAGAACCGGTCAGAGGTCACCGGATGAGTGAGTGGGAAAGCCGGGACACGTCCCAAGTCTGTGTGACCCTGAAGGTCAGGCTCCCACCACCCTACGACAGCATTGCCTTGGAAGGCCGGCTAGAAAAGCGCTCCAGCCTCAGTTTCCCCATCTGTGAAAGGGAGGTAATATCACTTCACTCATGGGAGCTTCGAGAGAATTCGATGAGCTCACACACAACACCTGCAGGCTTCATGGAGGGCTCTTTGGAGCCGAGATCCCTCTACTCCCCAGTCTGCGCAGGACATTTCAACTGCCTCATGGCTTGCCTTCCAAAGCTGGGCCAGGAGACCATTATCCATCTGGCTTCCTCCATACACTGCACATTTCAAAGAAAACAGGTTATTGCATTATGTACTTCGATGTCAATCAAAATGTATGGGGCACCATCATGGCAAGTTTAGAGAAAAAGTGTTTGGTGGCTATGTCACTTTGGGGGATCATGTTTTACTTCCATTAATTTAATTCAGCGGCCTTCTCAAAAATGTCCTGTTCCGGATTCCAACTCCCTCATACAATTCTTCTACCAACATCTGCAGAACTTGAGGCAGACAAAGGCTGGAGGGGGAGAGATGTCTCCCTGAGATGAAGAGCAAGAGAATTTTCCACTACAAAAAAAAAAAAAAAAAAAAAATCTGGCAGGAAAGAGAAATGAACGTGCACCGAGAACCCACTGTTTACCAGATGTTTTTATGAACATGTTATGTAATCACCAAAGACTTGATGGAGCCTCCGGGAGAACTCACGAACCTCTAAAATTATTTTTATGTTTCTTAGGTATGTAGACCCCCAGCTCAGGAGACACTACCTTCTGGGCTCAAGGATCCCCATGTTGATAATAATTTAACGGAGCTCCTTGTCTAGAAGGAGCAGAGTTCTAGAACATAAACTGAAACAGACATGAGAAGAGTTTATGATTTAACTGCCTTCCCTTTCTCTGTCTCAGAGATCACAGCCTCCTTGTGTCCACAACTGAGAGAAAATGAGGAGGAGCAATCAGAAGACTGGGGTCAAGCTTTATGAAGCTACTTTTTTCTTTAATGTGTTATTTCTTTATTTTGAGAGATAGAGAGAACACAAGCGCAGGGAGGCGCAGAGAGAGGGAGGGAGAAAATCCCAAGCAGGGTCCGACTCTCAGCACGGATCCCAATGTGGGGCTCGATCTCACGACCTTGAGATCATGACCTGAGCTGAAATCAAGAGTCAGATGCTTAAGTGACTGAGCCCCCCAGGAGCCCCTGAAGTTTCTTTTTATCCTTAAACTCAAAAGTAAACATTGCACCCTGGATGTGCCAGTCACCATTTTGATCGGCATAAATACATATATAGAATTAAAAAGGCATTGGGATGGCACTGTAGGGAGGTGTCTGCAGTACTCATTTATAGATGTCAATGCAGAAAGGAGCCTCAAGTTCATTAGTGTGGCTTCTTTGCAAGAATCCCCCGTGTTCATGTTTGTTCCCCTGGGTAGAGCACCGTTCCATCAGATCAAATGATAGCCAAGCCAAGCTGCTCCGAGTAAATTGGCCGGTTATAAGAAACAGATGGCCTCAGGAACGTCTGTGTCCAACAGAGATGGAGGTGCGCATCTGACTGAAGAGGCGGCATGGGGGGCCCCTGGGTGGCTCAGTCCGTTGAGCGGCTGACTTCACCTCAGGTCACGATCTCACTGCTCATGGGTTCGAGCCCCACGTCGGGCTCCGCGCTCACAGATTGAAGACTGGAGGCGGCTTCAGGTTCTGTCTCCGTCTCTCTGCCCCTCCCCTGCTGACATTCTGTCCATCTATCTCTCTCAAATATAAGATAAAAACAACATAAAAAAATTGAAGAAGCAGCATGGAAGGAATAAGAGCCATTTCTGGAAATTGCTTTTTTTTTTTTTTTTTTTGCATTAAAAATGGCTCTCCATTCCAAAATGGTGCTACTTCCAGACAGACCTGCTGCCTGGGTAGAGACTGTGAGCCCCAGGGCTATTCCCAAGAGCTGTCTGTGCCCGGATCAGACTGTGGGAAGTCATCGGGTCCTGTGGCTCTCAGCTCTGGCCACACTTGACCATCACCCGAGAGCTTCGGAAAAGACCGACTCCAGGCCAACCAAGTCAGAATGGCCCCCTCAGTGAATTTGACTACTGTGGGTACCTATCTTTCCATCACTGGCTGATTTCACTTAGCGCAATGTCCTCACAGCTTACCCGTGTTGTAGCAGGTGTCAGAATCCCCTGCCCTTTCAAAGGCTCAACAACATTCCACTGTAGGCTTACACCTCATTCTGGGTATCCGTTTACCCACCGTGGACACTTGGGCTGCTTCATCACCCACTCTTTCCTTCCACAAATACTTCCCGGGGTCCTACCGAGAGCCTCCCACCAGGCACGGAGCTATCCTCAAGGCACTCAGATGATGGTTGAGGGCAGAGAAAGACCAGAACTAATTACAATCAAAGCACCGGTGACTTTTGCCCAAGGCACCAAAACTTGAAAACACAATAAATAGTGGAACATTTTCTAATTCTCTACTACAGAGGATAGGCACGGGATTTAAAACCACACAACAAAAACAAAAACTCCTTGATTAGATGTTAAGCAGTCTTCTTTTTTGAAAATGATGTTTCTTTGTGGGTTCCCCTGTTGTTGTGGCTTGCAAAATCTATCTATATTTGTAACCGCCCGGGGTTTCTATGAGCCCCCTTTCTGGCTTCGCTGCCTTTGATGGGTTCCAGAGATTAGAGATGTGTAGCCAACAGAAGGGAATGGCGTCAAAAGGTGTCTCTGCTCAGTGGAAAACAAAGCAGCCTTTGAACAACGTATTTCTGCAGAGCTTGGAATCACTTGGGGGATGTTTATTTTATGGTAAGTGATGAAAGGAGACCTCACCTTCTAGAAAACAGGAAAAAGATGCACACCAAACTGGTAATTGGGGTTGCCTCTTGGAAGAAAAATAAAGGCAAAT